GTAATATAGAACTTTCTTTAAAATCCCCCGTATCAATCTCACGGGGAAGCTGTAACTTTCAAAAATAACTTAAAAAAACTTTTATTAAAACTACAAACAAATTAATAAGATTAAAATGTTGAAATACATTGAAAAGATTAAAACAAAATATATGCAAGATTTATTTTTAAGCAGAAATTTAGTGCAAATTTTCTAACTTAAAACTATTAAAATGAGTTTAAATGATATGGAAAAGATCTTTCCCCCTGCAAAAGATCATAACCACTGTAGGATTTAAATATTTAAAAATATAAAATATTGTTTAGTGACAAATAGGAGCATACCCATTCTTTACCTCCTTTCGATGCATGTTAAAAACATTAGCTATTCTTAAGTTTTTTCCTTGAATTTATTGTAGTGCTAAGTAAATTCTGTCCTCTCACCTCCAGATTACCAATTATTTCCTCTCTATAAGATCTACAGAGGCTTAGGTTTCAAACTCAAAATCAAATTGACAAAAGAATCTAGCTCGTCACCCTATAAACATCCATTTTACACCCATCAAAACTTATCTCACTATTTATTTGAGCTAACCAGTGAACTGAGTCAGCCACCCATCTTAAAGGTTAACTTTGTACTCATAAGTTGGGTGTAATCATAGCCCTTCTAGATCAATATGTTTCATAATAGATTTTAACCTCACAAGTGGCCAGTTTGCAAAGTCAATGAAGAACCAGTAAAGTACCATCACAAAATTTAAAGAAAAAAAAATCTTCAAATCGTTCTTACCATAAATGATTAATTCTCATAGCAAGGAAAAAGAAGGAAAACTACTCATAATTCATGAATATGACACAAAAACATATAGATTTGTATTTTCGATCAATTTTACACAAGAAATTATAACTTAAACAAAAATATAAAAGACTTATCTTATGCTTCTCCACAAGAAAATCCTAAAGTCCCTTTGAAGCAATCTTCAAACTCTTCTTAAAAGTAAAACAACAGTAAGACTCTATTCTACTCTCTAATCTAGTGGACTCTCTAAATGATCTAAGTTTTCCTCTCACAAAAGTCCTCTTTAAACTCTTTTCTATCCATATTATATAAGAATCTTGAAATCCTAAGGAGTCACATCAAGCATCCCTTTAAAATTTGACCAAATCCAATGCATCATCAAGAAAACCGTCACTGACGCCTTGGCACTGAATCTGGCGTCCAGGCGCCAGTCTTTGTACATCTCTGTTGCTTAGGTGCCACTGCTCTACCACATTGTTTTGCCTCCATTTTGTCTCCTTTTCTTCTAAACTCTGTTTCATATAACTGAAATTAAAAAAATTCAAAATACATTTCATTAAAGTGTGATATCATAAAAAATATACAAAAAATGAGCATTAAATGTATATTTAAAATAGATAATTTTGACGTGTATCAAAGAGCATTGTAATAAACATTAATATGGGAAATTGTGAACTTCTCTAGCCTATTGGACCCATTTTATTTATAAAATGATCCTATATTTATTAAAAAAGCTATAATATCTAAAGTTACATATTTCCCCATGTTTTACTGGAGAAGTTACGAGGGTATTTATGACATTTTACATGTATGAGTTTAACTTCTTTCTGAGTCAGTCGATCAAGATTTTTGCTTTGGTTAAGCATGGTCACCTCAGTCAACTAAGCTTAACAGACTTTGAGTCGGAAGGGTCAGCTTCGTTGACTGAACGAGGGGATCATCAAAGATGGATCTATTGTTCAGGCTAGTGATCATATAAGTTGTCAATCGTTGACACACCAAAAATATGTTAGATTTTTTATATGTATTTTTATTCATTTTTTGTAATATTGCACTTTATAGGAATATATTTTTCATGTTTTGTTGCAGGTATGATGATTTTTAGGTGTTTGGAGCCAAAGGAAGTAACAAAAGAACGAATTTAGAGTAAAAAGAGATAAAGTGGCCAAAACTGCCTACTAGCGCCGACAACACCAAAATGGGAGCCGACGACACACATTTCTAGAGATTATGGGATTATTTGAATAATTGAGTGTCAGCGACGCCCTATCCAACGTTGGCGGCTCCTGAAGCCGACTTGTGTTCAAATTCAATGATTTGGACGAATTTGGAAGGGGTGCTTGGGAAATCTCTTGGGGAATTTATTCTAAAGAAATTTAAACTGCTTTTGGTGCCCGAATTCAGTGGTGTGAGTGTAGGGGAGAGTGTTTCATCTTGTTTGGAGAGTGTGAGAGAGTTATGGTTTGTGTTGAATTCCACTTTAAGGAGTGTAGGAGGAGAAAGAAAGTGAGAGATTTCTTCTCCCTTATTCATCTAAAGAAGCAACAGTGTGGAGTTGTAAAGAGAGAAGAGAATTCAAACGAACTTTAAGGGATTTATTTTGAGGAAGAACTTTATATAAGTTGTATTTACTTCTTATGGTTGTATGACGCTGCTTTTAAATATAAAACCCTTATTTCGTCGTATCTTCCTCCTTAGTTCTGAGTAGATTTTTTTGTCTTTCTCCTTACAATAAGATGTGGTGATGTAATGATTTAGATTGGGTATGCCGAATTCATGCCGAAATATTGTGATGATTTTACACTTAGTGGTTCATTTACTTTTCAATCTGGCCAATTTAATTGTTAAGATTTGTTGTGAATCATATGATCTGAAAGGGTTATGTATTCTACAAAAATAGTGAAGACCACATTCAAATCTCATGGATGACAAAGTTCATGGGGGTTGAATGCAAATAAATAGTGAAATATATTTTATTGGGCATAGAATTGGAGATTTTAGAGTGACATACTAAAATCTCCATTTTGTTCCTAGTGTTTGTAAACTAAAGCAAGAGCTAGCCTTCAGAGGAAGGGAAATGGGAGCTCTGGAGTGACAGCCAATATTCTCCTAGCCTATTATTGATTTAGGAGATAAACGTATGATTAGTCAATGCTCTTTACAACACTCGAAAGAGGGTAAAGAATAGGAATGCTCCTATTTGGCATAACACAATATCTCACTAATCTTTATTTTTCACTCACCATAGCATCATTGTAAGGGGGAGGACGTCTTCTCCATATTTGAAACTTGCAACAGAAAAACTTAGTTTGGCGTTAAATAACTTGCTTATAAACTTAGTTAGTACTTTAATGAACTTGAATATTTAATCGTCTTTATACTATTTGTGACTTTAATATTTTCAGTACGCGCATTGTGAATTGATTATTGGCTTTCTGCACTACGTTTTACATTTTAAAGTTCAGTTGTATTCCCTGTGGGATCGATAACCAAGACTCCACTAGAGCCCAATATTACTTGAGTGATACACGTACTTGCTTTCATAACTGCGATAAAAAAGAACATATAAAAATTAAATTAGAAGCCGAGCATTTAGGAAGTCAGGGCCAGTCGTCAAGGTTGCGAGTTTTCCAAACAACTAGTCATCTAGGCATAGGGTCGTTCAAGTTATGGATCTTACAAATTGATGTTTGTCCAGGTTGCGGATTGTATGGGCTGCTGGTCATCAAGGCTGTGGCTCGTCTCGATAGCGAGTCATCCAGACTGCTGATCATCTGGGCTGTGAGTCGTCCATTCTGCTCATCTTTCAGGTTGTGCATTGTTCAGACTACAGGACGTTCAGACTGCGAGTCATCATGAAAACAAGTCCTTTCTCTGAGAGATTTGATCTAACAATTTTTTGTTATACATAGAAATTCTTTTTGTAGCTTTGGTTATATGTGTGGATTTTATCTTTGATGAATGGCTTTGTATTATTGTTATTTTCGAGTGGTTGTTTTCTTACTTCTTGATGATGATTAGGTTTTAGATTGATGTTAGATGAAGATGACTATCGGATTTTTTTCTCTTTGAATTATGTTGGATTTTCTTTGAAGCTTTTCTCATGAAGCTCATATTCGGATTGTTCATTTGGGTGTGTTATTTTTGTTGTTTTGTTCTGAATAATATTGTGATTGGTCTCTAATTGCGTTGTTATGGTGTTTTTTAAGTTATAACTTTTTTTTAATTTTTTTAAATAAAGCTGGTTGTTGCCCTTATCCTTTCCTAAAAAAACTTATAAATATGATATTAATTTAAAAAGAAGAATCAGAAGGTGGATTTGATAAGAGAAGTCTTTGAACAACGCAGAGGTGGTGCAGATATATAGAAAAGTTTAATGAAAAATCACAAGGTGAGCATCGTTTGGATAGAACGACTTTAATTTTCATAACCAATGGCAATCAAAACTCAAAATCCATTAAAATAAAAAAAAAAAATTAATTTTTTATCAAAACCGAATCATAGGATCCAAAACTAAACCAATGAAAATTACATATCTTTATTTTAAATATGAATTTAAGTTCATAAATTTTTCATTTAATTTTAAAATTTAACAAATAAATTTATTTTATAAAATAAAAATTAAAATCAAATGAATAATAAAAAATAAGTATTGATATTTTAAAACCATAATTTAAAATATAATTTTTAAATCTAACCGAATCAACTAGATTTCTCCAGCTCATAATGTTCATTTCTTTTTCTATTTTGACCAAACATTAATGAACATCCAGTAAATAGCTACTTAGAAAATTTTTCCTATAATAATTTAGTACTGAATATTATCGTGTCATCGATAGAAATCACGCTTATTTTTCTTGTTCCCTTAGTTAAGATAAAATAGAATTTATATTTATGGGCACATTCTATGTAATAATAACATCTAAATTTAAATTTTATCATTATTGTAATCAAAACTTTTTGTCTACTTAAGAATATCATCATTTAACTTAAAAAAAATATATGCAAATTGTCACCATTCAAAGTAAGATGATATGTATGTAAAAGCCTAAGTATAAAATTAGATATGTAAATTCGTAAATCTGACAGAAATGTTAAATTTAAAATTTGAAATAATGGTAATCACTGTGTAGACGATTACTCGCGCTGTACTAATTACTCTTAAATGTAAATAAAAAATATTATTATAATTTTGTCGTACGCTTATAAATCTTTAGATGGCAATAAAGACGCAAAAAATGAGATTGCTGACGTCAAACCGTGGTATTCACTAATGTCAATTAAAATGTTTTGCTCTGAGGTTCATCATTTATAAAATTTACACATGCCCCTGTTCCAAAAAAGAAACCTACAAGCTAAAAAGAAAAATTTAAAGATTTCCGGTGAATCAACTAAACTGCTGGCAAGGACTCTGGCCGCCACGATGGCTCGGCAATATCGGACAGCGGGTAGACCACATCAGTGTAACCGAACAGCTCTCCTTCTAAAAAGCCCACATCTTCGCCAGCAAAAGATTGACTCTCATCAGGACGAAAGGAAGTGTAGTCAAAGCCTTCGAAGCTCTCCGGCAATTCATCAGCCAAGCCCCAGATCTGGCCAAATCCGGCATCCATGTCGCCGCAAACCTTTTTAACCTCCGAACCACCCTCCTCTGAGGAGGCCACCGTCGGCGGTAGGCCAAGCTCGTCGTCGGAGGCCTCAAGAAGGTATCCTAGTTCTTTCTGTTGTGCATCGCCGGAGACGAAGGGTACCTCCGACTGCTGAGGGTCTATTGGGGACGGTAGTCCAATCTCTTCCTCAAGGCTCTTCATGACAAAAGCAAGGCCATCCTCACTTCCGTCATCGGTGTCATCGTCAAAGATGCAGAATAAAAGATCAGACCGCACGCGCTTCTCCTCCGGCGAGTCCCATAACTCGTCGGAGCCCTCTCGCTCTCGCTTGTGGGTTGAGACTTCACCCATGCGTGGAGAAATAAGGTTGTGTTTTTTAGCAGTGATAAGGCCTGGGTAAAGATTATATAGGGTGGTGAATTGGGGCATATTGTCTTTAATTTTTTTTATTTGGGTGCATATTGTCTTTAATTTTTTTAAAAAATATGTATAAAAGATAAGAAAGGAAATGATAGGTGGGTGTGATCGAGAAAGGGCGCGTGTAGTTAAGGAATGCATCATCACGGGCGCCTACTAACCTTTTACCCCCACTTTTTTTTTTTTAGTTTCATGTTTTGTTTTAATTTTCACAACTGATTTAGTATTTATTTTCTCGAGAAGGTGAGTGTAATTGGATTTGAAGTCCGCATTTGAAGTCCGGGCATGAGGGGACCACCAACACCGTCAGCGTGCCTTGGCTGTGACCGGCTTGTTTGGCGCTTTGATTGGTTGGCGGTGGGAAGAGTTGAGCGTTCGTCGATTTCTCGTTTTTTTTTAAAAAAAAAACCAGAGGGGGCTGGGAGATTTACGGAAAAATCCTTATATTAGTTTGTTTGGCAGGAAGGACATTTTTTTTTTCCTTGGAGAGCATAAAAATGTGAAAAAAGAGATTATGAGAAATTGCGGCCGGTGACCTATAGTAACACCTGTCTTGTTGTTTTCAGTTGATCCTTCACCAGATAAACTAACTGATAAATTAGATAAGTCGTTCAAATAATCGAATTAAAATAATTAGCGAAACTTTCTCGTGCTATTGCATGGATTCCCCCCTTTAGGTGATGGTGCAATTTCCTATGCCATGGCTGCGTGAGTCAGGCATTAGGCGAAACGAAAATTAACAATTGTTAACATAAAATTAAGGGCTCCCATTTTTTAAAATAACTACTTTCTTACATCTTTCAATATCTGTTTCTGATTTTGAGTCGCTGAGGATGAAAATATAAAAAAACAATATGTTCCTCTTTTTTATTTTAGTTCCTTTAAATAATACTTGCCACAAATGAGTAATAAATAATAGCAGAAAAAGTTACATATATGCAATTTTGTGTAATTTCAAATAAAATATTTGGAGACATTGGGTTTATACTCTACTGTACGGCAAATGACATTCAATCCAGAATCGCTACGCCTAAGAAGATGTAAAATATTTAAACTAAATAATTTTTTGTTAAACCAATTTGTGTTATTATATACAGTGTATGATGAAAGTGCATTAAATTGGATTCGAAGATTATGAAGATGACACATGTAAAAGAATCAATCTTGATAACCTTATAGAACTATCACCGGCATGGTAGAGATGATCCAACAGACCAAAACGAGAAGGTCGACTTAAAAAGTTGACGAATCCGAATAGAAAATAACAGAAAATTTCAAGAGCAATATAGACATTTCACTATATAACTTCTATTTATTATAAATATATGACAACATGTAAATGAACCTTTTTTTTGAAGCAAGATAATATTACTAATGTGATACGCTTGATATTTTTATTCTCTCTCTCTCTCTCTCTCTCTCTCTCTCTCTCTCTGTGTGTATTTATGTTATATACTTTGGGTGTGATTCACAGTTGAATCTAATTATAACATCTTGAAAGATACGGTGAGCATGTAATAATATCGCAAACAAGAATATGAATGACTAAAAAATAAGATCTCTCACCTCGAGAAGCCCCCGACAACAAAATTTGCACCTGTGATTTCATAGCTCAACAAATCAACAAACTGAATGATTAGATGATTGAGGAAATCAGAAGCACACTCATCTCAAAAAGAATGTAAATGTCACGACCAGCGACATTTCATCTCCAGTGAAGGACACAACCCTGAACGTTGTAAGGATTCCACTATCCTCAAACTGAAATACGACACACACTATTCAACAACGCGCATTCTGCACTGTTTAACCATTACAGGCTTGAGTGCATGGAAGCACCACAGGCCACACAACCTGAGAAAGCCTTTTCCTGATGAATATTCAAAGACGAATGACACATCAAAAAATATATTATTTTATGTATACATTTTTTTTGTGATATTGCACTTTAAAGAAGGGTATTTTCATGTTCTTGTTGCAGATATATCAATTTTAGGCATTTTGAGCAAAAAGTAGCAAGAAGGAGGAAATTTAGAGCCAAAATGGAATGATGTCGTTAGACTTGGACTTTTTTCCATTTTCACTAGGGATAAAGCTAAGATATGGTTAAACTTGTTAGTATCTGGATCTATCAGAAATTTGAGAGACTTATCACAAAAATGTTTATCTAAATTTTTCTCACTATAAAAAATTGCTAAGCATAGAAATAATATTACATCTTTTTGTCATTTTGAAGGGGAATCAATTTATGAAGCTTGGGAAAGATTTAAAGATCTCCTTAAGAAGTGTCCACACCATGCGTTGCCAGATTGATAATAATTAAAACTTTTTCTAATAAATTGGTTGGATCTCTTAGATCCATAATTGATGTTACTGCTGGTAGATCATTAATTTCAAAACCATTTGATGAAGCATATTCTTTAACTGAAAAGATGACTACTAATAATTTTCAATGGCTCTCTTAAAGGATAAATCCAAAAAGAGTAGCTAATATTCATGATTTTGATGCAAATATCTATGTTGGCTGCTCAAATTGTTGTAATATCAAAGAAGATAGAACAATATTGAATGAATTATTCTCAGAAGTCTCTCATGCTTGATGAAAATTCATTAGGACAAATGATAGAATGTCAATCTTTGTATGAGACTTTAAATGTAATAAACAACCAATCTAATAATCCTTATTCCAATTATTATAATCCTGGTTGGAAAAATCACCCAGATTTCAGTTGAAGTAACAATAACTCTATTGCTATAAATCTCCAATGGGGGAACAATGCTGCGAACCCATTGGAAAGCTCCAACAATCAAGGGAATTCAAACTAAAAACCTTATTACCCTCTAGGTTTCAATAGCAATTTGCAGATAACCCTCATCACTTTTGGTTGAGGTCTAATTTCCTCCTTAGTAGCCTAAGGTATAGCCATATGACTTTCCTGTTGATTATTTCTAGAGGACTAGTAAAATAACCCTCATCATTAGAAAATCTAAACTTTTCTTTACTCAATTTGAAGTTTGACACATTGGTTCTAACCTCTAACATTTATTATGTGGGCCAGTATGAAGGAGCTCAAAGGGAGTCCCCATAGGACTGTTTGGCTTTAGGGTGGACCCTGGGTGGTTTGGCCTTGATCAGTTTCACGCACACACACACTTGATACCCCCCACTTACACTCACACCCTCAGGCTTTTGTCAAATGTGCTTAGTTGGTCCCTTAACTTTTTGGGAAACTCATGTAGATGGTTCTCTAGGCCACTAGCCCCGGGCTAGGGTTTAGTCGAGACCAGTACATGAAGCACCCAAAGTAGGGAATTCTATTGGTCCATGGCTCAAGTAAGGTGGTTGTGTGGTTGGCGATCTCCTACTTAATGCTTATCCACAGTATAACAATAGTTCTGATAGTATTTTCCACTTATATTTCCTTATTTTGCAACAAAACCAAAAACTTGATCCTGAAAAAAAAAGAATTTAACTTTTTAATTTATAGATATTTAATTTATAGATATTTATATAGATATTTATATTGGGATACTACACAAGTATAAGTATCGTTATCAAGTAATATAGGACTTTTGATTTAGACTTGAATATCGAACCCATAGGGAAGATTATGCAATATGCACTTTTTAAAAAGTTTTTCTATTTTTAAAAAGATAATTACTTAAACTAAAAATGATTTTTGCAGGAATTTAAAATTTAAATATTCTTGGTATTTTTGATATTTTAACAAAACAGTAACAACTTAAAAAGATAACTAAATTTTTTGTAGAAGAAAAGTACTTAATATGAAAATATCTTTCTTCTTATCATGAATCATTAATATGTAAAGGAATTCTGTTGTGGAAGTATGCAAATTGTGTTGTGCCAAATAGGAG